GAAAACCACATTATAGCCGAATCACGGAAGAGGCACTGCCATCTACAACCGACTGAATATCCGACAAGGAATCTTTCAATGAGACTCCCCTCCCTGTTGTCTCTTCTGTCTGTCCTTAATCCTCCTTTTGCATAAACTAAACAGTAATAACTATGGTTACAAAATGAAAAAGAAAATGTTTAATCACCTATTCTACATAGTTGATATCAAACTCTTTGCAAAAGATGACAATGAAGGGTCTCCTCAATACTGTAAAATGTTTCAGTGATGAAATCGGTATGTATTTTGGGTTAGATAAATGTGCAAAAGTAAGATTCAAGAAAGAGAGAATTACAGAAACACACTCAATAGATCTAGATTTTGTCACAAGGATTAGGAAACTGGAACATGAAGAATCCTATGAATACCTAGAATTCAGTGAAGGAGATGGAATACAGCATACCCAAATGGAGAAAGTAAAAATATTGTGTACATTTGGCTGTGATGCATGCGCCTGATGTACTGTTATCAGACTGGGTTTCATAGTGGGTATAATGGGTTTCGTATGTTTGTACCCTAGCATTATTTTGTTGGAGAAACACTTGGTAATTGATTGTATCAAACAGCAAATGAGAAGAAGAGGAAGAAATTGCAGGAAAAAAGGAAGAAATTTCAGCACAGTTTGAATAGATTACCATAAAGCTTTTGATAGTCTGCTAAACTCTTGGACTCTTAAGGCTTTGTAAATGTACAAAGTCTCCTCGGAGATAGTAACTTTCCTTAAATATAGCAAGGAACTGTGGACAATCACATTATACCTAATTCACACAAAAGGTACTGCCATCTACAACCGACTGAATATCCGACAAGGAATCTTTCAATGAGACTCCCCTCCCTGTTATCTCTTCTGTCTGTCCTTAATCCTCCTTTTGCATAAACTAAACAGTAATAACTACGGTTACAAAATAAAAAAGAAAATGTTTAATCACCTATTCTACATGGTTGATATCAAACTCTTTGCCAAAGATGACAATGAAGGGTCTCCTCAATACTGTAAAATGTTTCAGTGATGAAATCAGTATGGATTTTGGATTAGATAAATGGGCAAAAGTAACATTCAAGAAAGAGAGAATTACCGAAACACATTCAATAGATTTAGATTGTATCACAAAGATTAGGGAACTGAAACGAGAAAAAAAACTATATGTACCTAGGAATTAGCAAAAGAGATTGAACACAGCATACCAAATGAAGAAGAAGGGGACAAAGGCGTAATAGAGTTGTGCCTGTCTTGTACCAAACCGAATTTTAAAAAAAAAGTATAACAGCCATAAACACCTTGGCTGTCCATGTGGTGCATTACCGTTTAAACGTCCTTAACTTGAACACAGCTGATGTTAAGCGAACGGATTCCAAAATGAGAAAGCTTCTCACCTGCCACCACATGGATCATCCCTAGGCTGATGCTGACCGTCTGCATGTGCCCAGATCCGAAGAAGGTAGAGGATTAGTTCAACTAGAACTGTCTTACAAAACTATAACAATTGACCTTCAATGATACATGGAAACTACAGATAACTGGATGATATGTGTCAAAGAACATGAAAGCAGTATGCGACTTTATTCAGTAATAAAGGAAGCCAACAAGTTCAAAATGGAGTTTCAAATGGGGGAAGAAATACAAGTAAAGCACAATACACGAAATGAAGCTGCAAAAAAGAAAGCAAAGGAAAATCCAACCGACTGGATACAGAAATGATGACAGCAAAAACCGCTTTACGGTTAATACCCTAACCGTACCAAACAAGCTGATGTAGACAAACCCTGTACCCATCAGTGGCTACGTGGTACAGGTTTAAAAACTGAAACCAAAGGGTTTATTCTCGCTGCACAAGGCCAATGTTTGCTAACTAGAAATTACCAAATACACATACTGAAAAATTGTGTTAGCCCAAAATACAGATTCTGCGATAAATATCCAGAAACAATTGACCATCTTGTTTCAGGTTGCGCGGTATTGGCACCCACTGAATATAAAACACGGCATGACAGAGTCCGCCAATATCTGCGCTGGAAAATCAGCAACACTTATGAAAAGGAAACTGCAAGAAATTCTTATGAACACCACCCACATCCGGTTGAGGAGGAGGACCTGTAACAATTTTATGAGACTTTACAATGCACACAAACAGAATAATCAAAGGTAATCGTCCAAGCTTCTTGATTAGAGATCGCAAAGACAAAATGTGCTTTCTTATTTACAGGACAGTCACTGCAGACTGCAATGTATCGTTGAAGATCTTCCAAAAACTGTCAAAAATACAACAACCTTGAAATCGAAAATCCCAAAAATGTGGCGCATGAGGACATTAAGAATTCCATTTGTAGTTGGAAAAGATTCCAATAGACTCATTGAGGGTTTCCAATGTTTTGCTTCCCTAATAATTACAATTTTCAGAAATTTAAAGGCAGCATCAATTTTCATTTTTTCTTCTTTAACCCTGTCTACCCCCACCTTTCTTAATCCTTCCAATTTTAAATCTTCTCTTTCACTTTAACTGCTTGAAAACCCTGTATTCTCGTGGCATTTTCGCCATGCTAGTTGTGAGGCGATTAAAAAAGACACAGCGTTTGACAATGTTTAAAACTATTTCGACACTATGTCTGTTTTCAAGTTGTTTAAAAATTGTATACAAGTAGAAAAATATCTTAAAACTCTTCATAGAATTATAAGACTACAAACGCCGCTTGTCAAGATTTATTGTATATGAAATACAATTGTAGCACAAGGCCGAAAATGGGGGGATGGATGGGCTGGAGGTGGTCATAGCTAATCAGATTCACGACCCATTCACTCATTACAATTTGCACATTCACCAAAAGAACTTATCCAACGTCATTCATTCCTTCATATACCATAATACCGCATATTCTCAGGGGACTTTGTGCACCTCGGCGTGGTGTAATGGTTAGCAAACTTGTCTTGCTAGATCTGTTACTACTGAAAAGTGAGTTCGATCCTCACTGGATGTCCCATACTTTCGGCCTTGTGCCACATGTAAGCTACGCTTGGAAAATCTCTACTCTCAGGGGACTTAGAATAACATTCCGTTATATAAAAATAACGATTATCAAATTCTATATACAAAAACCTATCGATGATACGTGATGAGTGGGGGGAGGGAATTAACCCAAAAACAAACTAAAATATCAAAATAAATACACAAACTAAAAAAAGTAATGTGATGTTAGTTGGTTCCTTCAGACCCACAAAAGTCGCTGTATTCTGTCTTTAGACAAATTCAAGTAGGTCTCTCGCTAAGGGAGAGGAAATGGTAAAATAAATCCGGCCATGAGGAAACCAAAAAGCTGACCCAGTCGGGATTAAAAAAAAAAAAGTGATAAAAAGAAAATGGCGGTACTGTTAATAAACGCATTAAAACGAATGAAACGCCGCCATCGTGATGGTATGAAACTGAAACGGGCTTAATAAGATGGCCATCTTGTCCATTTTTAAATTTTCCGTTTGTTGATTAGTTACTAAGAGGAATTAATCAAAGAGCTTAGTATAAATCCTATAGAAATTTCCTGTCATTCTGTTCACCCCCATCCCCCCCCCGGAGGTGGAAGTTAGTAGTTTGCATACGTAACTATCCTCATACGTTTTTAAGTGAATTCTGAATATTTTTCACTATGTGCACCTTCAGATGTTCGTCGAAATTATTAGGTTGGTGCAAAAATAATGACGTAATAATGTCGTTTTTGACGTAGAAAAGTACGTCAAAAAACGACATTATTACGTCATTATTTTTGCACCAACCTAATACAATCGTTTGTAATAAAATCTGACTAAAGCTCTGTTGATGATACATCTGATGTCATAACTGTGGCTATTAAATCTTTTTTTTTTTTTTTATTTTTTTTTATACTTGTATACAACTTTTAAACTTTACTTGAAGACAGACAGACATACTGTGGAAATATTGTTGAACATTGTCAAATACTGTTTTTTTTTTTTTTTTTCTTATGGTGTTTACTCGTTCCTCCGCCAGGACGAGATGTGACACAAGGTCTTTTTAAAGTGGGGATCCGAGCGCGTGCACCCGGGCAAGTGACAAAAATTCCCCCTCAACCGTCGGTTACGCTGGCCTCGGTGCGAGCATCGATCCCTCCTTCTTGTGAAATGGGAGGGCGCGGCTCGGCAGCTGTTCCCCAGGACTGGGCACCTCTTCAGTATAATTTTTTCAGTTGCCCCTTCTGTCCTTTGAAAGAGAAACCACTAAGTGCACTCTGCCCAAAGACAGGGACTCAACTGAGAGATGATAAGCCATGCGTTAGAAATTCCTCCAAGGAGGAATTTACGCACAAGTGATTTTCCAGGCATAGCTTAGATGTGGCATAAGACTGAAAGTATGGGAACCCAATGAAGATCGATCTCACAACTCAGTCGTAATTATTCTAAGCAAGGTTGCTAATCATTACACCGCCTCGAGGTGCCTTTTTCTTCTTTTTTTTTTAAATCACATTCGTCTCGAAGTGTTGAAAAATATTGAAAAAGTGACGCCAATCATTTTCTGTGTTTAATAATAATAATAATAATAATAATAATAATAATAATAATCAACAATCCCTGTTGTAGTTGTCAGTGGAAAGTGTCATGATGCCATTGCTAACCTTCGGTCCCTGGACGGGACCCGGAAAAAAATGTGTAAACGCCAAAAATCAAAGGAAATAAAAATAATTATAATAATCAGGGAGCATAAAATTTTGGATTGTTTATTTTGTTTAGTGGCATATCAACCTATATGGGTTATTTAATGCCGAAAATCTAAACATTTTGTATGCAATTTTTAAAAAATTAATTTTGAGATAATAATGGTTTCTGTGCTACAATTCTTACTAATAAACCCATAGCTGAGGGAAAAGTGTATTTGCGCGAATACAAGGAACTCACCCGATTCGAACTTGGCTCTCCGATTAACAATTCCGAGTCGTTACCATTACACTACACGGACATTCGAGCTTGCAACACCTGGTATTCCCAAGCGATCGCCCATCTTGATATTACACGGACTCGACGTTGCTTAACTTCGGTGATTGTAAGGAAAAAGGTTTGTCAACGTGATATGCAAGGTCAGATAGATAGATTTGAAAAGATAAACATAGATAGAAAAAAATGAGATAAATAGATAGCAAAAGAATTAGATAGATAGATAGATAGATAGATAGATAGATAGATAGATAGATAGATAGAAAACAAACTGAGATAGATAGATAGATAGATAGATAGATAGATAGATAGATAGATAGATAGATAGATAGATTCCAAGAATTGAAGAGGCTCTCTCATGAGACAGAAATATCCTTGATTACAACTTGAGTAGAGATATAATCAGAAAGTTCAGCGGCACCCACCCAAATGAAACTATTTTCGTCACGTGACTGCGCATTTGGACACGAAAATGAGTACAATTGCATTCTCAACACCTTCTACACAAAATAAATAAAAATAAAAATAAAAAAACTAGAAACCAAACACACTGAAACGTGACCCTGGCGGCGAAAAAAACAATTAATTTCGTCACCGGCTCGGCGATGGTCGTACATCGCCAAAATGAAATAACCAGGCCCCCATTACGCTCAGCCCCGCGGCAATGGATCAGTAAAATGGAAGAAGATTGAATGAAGTTGGTAAAAAGATGACGCCTGAGAAAGGATTGGAACTATAAAGAATGAAAATTTATTGGAATAGCTAACATCCTATTGCTTTTAAGTTAAACGACTATCGAAATGGAAACGTGTACAGCGTGTCGCTTGTGACACGAAGACACGACTTGGGAGCAACACTGATTTCCACTATGGCGGCTTAATCAAAGAGCTCAGCTGCAAAAAGAGACAGATAAATATGAACAGGATAGATAGATAGATAGATAGATAGATAGATAGATAGATAGGAACAGAAATAGATAGCTAGGAAGAGGACACACACACATATATATATATATATATATATAGAGAGAGAGAGAGAGAGAGAGAGAAACAATGCGGTAGATATGAATAACTGAGAGAGAGAGATAGACAGATACGAACAGAAATAGACAGATAGAAACAGGACATATATATATATATATATATATATATATATGTGTGTGTGTGTGTGTGTGTATATATATATATATATATATATATATATATATATATATATATATATATAAAGAGAGAGAGATAGAAACAGAATGCGGTAGATATGAATAACTTAGATAGTTAGATAGATAGATAGATAGGAACAGAAATAGATAGATAGGAACAGGACACACACACACACACAGACACCCAAACACACACACAGATATATATATATATATATATATATAGAGAGAGAGAGAGAGAGAGAGAGAGAGAGAGAGAGAGAGATAGAGAGAAGAGGGAGACAGAGAGAAATAATGCGATAGATATGAATAACTGAGATAGATAGATAGATAGATAGATAGATAGATAGATAGATAGATAGATAGATAGGGGCAGGACATATATATATATGGCTACGCATACTTATAACATTGTTCCAAACTTATTTAAGATTAGTAAATAGAAACGTAGTCCTGCAACGTTGGGTTATGGTTAGCGAGCTTGTCTGATTAATGCTGAGTAGTGAGTTTGTTCCTTACTGGGTACCCCATACATAGAATCTTGTGCCAAACGTATCTAAACAGAAAAATGATGCTTCATCTTTGAGTTAAAGAGCTCGAATGACTGAACATTAATACTGACTACTGCGTTCTTTCCTTACTCGGTGCCCCATACTTATGACCTTGTGCCAAACTTATGTATGATTAGTAAATAGAAACATGGTGCTCCTGCGTTGTGCAATGATTACATAGATCGTGTGATTGGACATTAATAATTAATTTGTTCCTAACTGGCTATTTCATACTTATCACCTTGTGCCAAATTTATGTAATGTCAATAAATAGAAATATGCCTCCTCAGAGTTGGGTAAGGGTTAACAAGTTCATCTGATTGCACATTAATACTGAATTGTGTGTCTAATACTCACTGTGTACCTCATACCTATGGCCTCGTGCCAAACTTATGTAAGTTTAATAAATAGAAACATGGCTATCAGCCTCGGGCAATTATTAGCGAGCTTGGTTGATTGGACATTAATATTGGGTAATGAGTTTGTTCCTCACGTGAGAATATTTTCTGCAACATGGAACGAAATAAGAACAACGTTTTGTTTTTAATAGACATTTTAAAATAATGTTTGGCTTTTATGGAAGTTTGCCCAACTCTTATGTTTTGGGATTGTCCTTGAAAGAATGGACGAATAATCCCTGGCTTGTTTTTCGTTCTGTTTTAATTTAACCCTTTGCCTGTCCAAGGCATTTTTGTGTTTACTATCCAAATGTTCTTGTTTCTTTTCAGATTTATTACTACTAAAAGGCAACTCAGCTTATTTGGCATAACAGAATATGCTGATGTATATAGTGTTTGACATAATAAAAACCTGGGCATCAC